TTCTGTAAGTGAAATATGGGTATGCAATCTAGTCTCAGGCTATAATGTATACTCTCATTGCCAAGAACTGATTGATTGTTCGGGGAAACATGGACTGAGTTGATACCATTAAGTAGTACTTATCATATTAGAAATAGAAATGTAGCATGTAAATGGTTGAATAAAGCGCGCTTTGTGACAGAATTCCTCACATTATGATCGAAATCAATAAATATAACTGATCACTTGATATTGTTAATATGTTACATCTGCAAACTGTCCTGTTGTTCCTTATTGTCCAAACATGTATATGCTGGGAAAAGCAATAAATATATTTGGATCACTTGATCAGCTCTATTTTACCAAATCATTTTGTTACAAATACATCTTGTAATCTTCTGATTTTAGTTGAAACTAAGTATACCTAAATAACATGAAGATTTGTGCTACAATTAGAGAAGGAAGAAGCTGTCGGGTAGTAGTTACACAATAAATCATCTAACTTCTTCTCTTCTTGTAAAGCTATTGAAACATTTAGCTTCTTGGCACTTTTTCTGTTAAGACTTGCAAACCAATATCTGGTCGTTGTAAACCTTATTGTTGCCATCATTTGAAAAGTAGGACATTTCCTTCTTAGATAAGCTCTAACGAAAATTTGTGGCTTTATGGATCCAGAAGCAAGTCTCTCTCTGCTATCTACATGTGTATTCATATATATGTACCTATATAAATACATTGTAATTTTTGCACTTTGTCCCTTTTGGTGCTATTTCAAGGAATGAATAGGTGAAGTTATTATTCTCGTTAACCTTATTCTGATCAGAAATTGACTGTTTATATGATTCTTTCATTGGATGTCTATTCATCTATTTTATTTTCATATAAATAGAAATCAGAAAGCTCTATGAAAAAATCATGGTTCAATTCAATGTTACCAAAGGGGAAAGTAAAATACAGATGTTTGTTGGATAAATTAATGGATAGTTTTGGTCTTATTGAAAATACTAGTATAAGCGAAGAATCGGCTAAAAATGATCCGGATAAAGCATTGATAATTATATTTAGGGTGAAAGTTCTGGTTATTTACAATAATGTTGATCAATACTTGACATCAAGGACATGTTGAATTTCATCTCAGATGATACCTTTTTAGTTACAGATAGTAATAAAGAGATTTTATATTCTTGTTATTCCATGTTTTGAGATTGGAAATGATTATTCTTTTTTAATTGAACTGGAAGTTTTTTTTTTAAAGTTATCATAATTATAATTATATGAATAATAGATTTAAAACTAACTCCTCTGATCTGTCCAGATGTGAGTGTTTTGCCTCCAGACTTGGCAGTAAAGTTGAAAGATATTCCTGTTATTCCATGTTTTGCTGCTATGTTAGCATTTGCAGAACCTTTATCCTTGGTAAGGCAATTCTCTGAGCTAAACTCATAAACAGTCAATCCTTTTTCCTCCATTGGGAGAGAACTTAAACGGTCAATCTCGAGACTTCTTTAAATAACTGCCTTTTTGTGCGCATTTGGTCCACTCTTTTTTGTTTCCTCCTGTGTCCTCTTCTCTCTCTCTCTCTCTCTCTCTCGCGCACACACACACACACACAGAGTACACACTCTTACTGCATGATGCTCGCTGTCTTTTCTTATGCATTTTGGTCTTACCTGTCCTTAAATATTTCTTTGTTATGGAGTTCTTGACACCTATTTTTAGTGAGGCCAGTACAGGTCGAGAAGCCTGATGGGACTTTAATTCTAATATTATTATTTAGATACCCACAAAAGGATTCTCATTCAAAAACTCTAAAGTTTTAAATTGGGCTTATTGTGACAGTAGCAAGCCAGGGCGTTCCACCACAAGGTACTGGTATAGTTTGTGTCAAAGTGATCAATGCTTTTGTGTCTTGTTATGTTGTTAAGATTAATATGAGATTCTGCCTTAACAGTGAACGATGGGTATTGCATTCAACTATGGAATATGCTAGGAGTGTAATTGCTCGAACTGGAGTCGGGAAGCTTTCAATTGAGACATTAAATGAAGTTGCAGAAGAAATGTTCCAAGAATTTCAAGACTTAGGTCTTGGTGTTTCTAAACCATTTTTCAGCAAAGCACATAGATGGTATGCAACTTCAAATTTTAAACACAAAGCTTGAGATTTAAGCTATGCAGCCCTGTTTTTCTTTTATTGGAATATTATTGATCTGGTCTAAACTCTGGAATCCCGTACCCTTTTGTAAGAGGATAGGATTATCTCTGCAGAACTACGGAGTGGTATCAACTTAATTAGAATGAATTTTTTATCAACTTTGGCGTAAAGTGGTATAATGTTTCGTGGATAATCAATGGGTTTGTAGGGGAAGTGCGTTTCCAGCAGAAAGCAGGGCAAAAGAGGAGAAATGCTTGTGGGAAAGGGAGAAGAGACTTGCAATTTGTGGAGATTTCTGTGTGAGTCCAAGTGTTGAAGGTGCGATATGCAGTGGACTAGCAGCTGCCTCAAAACTTGTCGAGATTCTTAGTTGCTTATAGTGGTTAATACTCTTTTCTTTGTAATATTACCTGTACTTACAATTCGCCTTCATGTTGCTTTAAGTTGATTTTATTACCTACTTACCCGAATTGTAGTTTTTAACAGTCTTCAAATTCCGACAGATAACCCTGTTATTTAACCACTAACTCGTCTTTTTTTTCATATTTCTATACCAGAGCTCACAAGGAGTCGATCTTTTTTCTCTACTTCTACCAAATTTATTTCCTACTCAAATTTTTATCTTTCTAATTCTTTTTTCAATCTCTAATGCCGAAACTATATCGGTTTAATTTTAGATTTAGCAAATTATTTGTCTGACATCTTTTTTTTCTCTCCTGTTTTCTAAAAATAGTGTCCATTTTTTCACATCGATGGAACCGAGCCTTATCCATCTTTCACCATCGTTGATATCGACAAGAATATATCCAACGTGAAATCTATTATTATATGTGCATATATATAATATAAAACATTGATAAATCTAAAGCCGTCAACAATTTATAACTTATTTTGAATTTAAATAAAACTAAATTATAATTTATATTCAATTTAACAGCAACAGCTACTTGTTTTCCTTTAAATTAAGAAAAAAAAAAGATAAATACTCTATAAGCATCTCCAAAAGAATTACAATCACGAGTTCACTTGAAGAACAGCCATTTACAGATATATCTTACATGACTTACAACTTTTCTGAGTGCCGGCCAAGCTCTCCGAAAAATCATTCCACTTGGACCAGATTACAATTTGGACATACTGCCGGACACTGCAAGTTTAATCAATTCTTTTCTCAGAATCTTACCAGCAGGAGATTTTGGAATAGAATTGATAAAAGCAACTCGTCGTATTTTCTTGTATGGTGTAACCTGCAGACCGAGACATAATAAAAATCGAAGTGTTATATCACAAGGCAGAGGTCAAGATGTTACAAATTTATACAAGGAAGTTTATAAGAGATCATGATCTTCTATCACGACCATATTGGTATTTCTCTTTTGTTTTTCCTTCTAACATGAAATCAAGTCCTGCAACTTCTTGTGCAATCATGATAAATGATATTCAGCACCATAGCATTTATTATTGCTCACCAAGCTAAACAAACAAGACTCTGCTAATGCATTTTAAGACATGCCTGTTTGGTGACAAAGTCCATCACTTCAAGCTCGCTGAGACTACTTCCAGGTTTTCTCACTACAAAAGCCATGGGAATCTGTCCTGCTTCTTCATCCGGATACCTGTTTCCACATTACAAATGGGTAGGAGAGAATTAGTTGAGTAGGATAACTTCTAAGAAGAAACAAATCGTAGCGATACGCTCTTCTTAGCTTACAACAGACTGATCATATATTACTTATCCCTTCAATTATGTCAGCTAAGATATATCTCCCCTCTATGCAACAAACCCAATTTGCGTACAGTGCAAGCCAGCTGCTACAGCCTTTGATACCAAGCTAGAACTCGACATCAACCCATTACTTTTTAATCAAAACATAAACTTTCTATGGGAGTTAAGCAGCCACATAAATGGAAATGAAAGAAGATTTCTTTCTTCAATGTGTTAAATAATAGAGCTGAAACTGATTTTATTAAAAGCTTAAGCTGATTGTAAAAAAATTAATCTACAATTTATATATTAATATACCCTTCACGCACAAGTGCAACGGCCTAGATTAGTAAATCTCTAGATCTGATAACCATGTTAAATAATGGAGTTGAACCAATTCCATTAAGAGTTTTAACAGGATCCAATCTATTATTTTTCGAAAAAGAAAAAGTACAATAACATATGATCCGATCTGTATATACTAACATCATGAACTTATTAGTCTAAAAAGGACTTAGCCCTGCTTGTTACATCCTTCCCACTCCTTATAAAAATCATGAACTTATTACCCTATGCATATGGTATTTGATTTCAGGAACGTTCTCCTGGACTTAGTGAAGATTTTTCCACTTAAAATAATATATAAGAAGAGTAATCAGATAATCAGCCTTCTAAAAGGTTTTCTGCTTTATTCAATGACTTCCACACCCATTATTATCCACCAGTTTCTTACCCACACGAGTTCTTGAGTGCTTCTCAGATATGAAGATTCATAACCATTAAACAGGGGAGTACAAATTTTAGCATTGAAAGATTTCTGGTTTAGGTTGCATTTCACTATCTTGAGGAAATCTACTTATGCTGATGTTACTTCTCATATAAAGATCACAATATATACTTACGGAATAACGGCCACATCAGCAATTTCAGGATGAGACTGAAGTAAATGTTCCAACTCAGCTGGAGGAACCTGAAAACTCAAGACAAAAATGAGATGGCGTTCCTCACGTTGTAGGGAAAAAAACAATTTTAGAAAATAAATTTCACAAGTGAAACTCCAAAGATGAGGTAGAAAGTAATTCAATCACCTGATATGCCTTGTATTTTATCAATTCCTTTAACCTATCGACAATATAGAGGAAACCCTCAGAGTCAAAATAACAAAGATCCCCAGTCCTTAGCCATCCTTCAGAATCCAAGGCTTCTGAAGTTGCCTTATCATCTCCAACATAACCTGTAATTGAAACCATCTTGTTGCTTATTGTAATTGACCAGAAAAGTATACTTATATTTTCTGATGATTTTATTCCAATAGGTTAGAGATATATAAACATACAGAGGGATCTATGTAAGGTAACTAACATAAACTAACCTATTAATTTGCTGTTTATAATTAAGCTAATGTATAAGGAAAGTCAACTACTAACAATTACTTTATTATACAAGGAAATATTTGATAATCTTGTAACACCCATCAATCAAATCTTTATAATATCAAACCGACTAAAAAAAACAGATTAAGTTTGCCAAGTTAATTAAATTCAATCGAGAAGATTATTTCTTTTGGCTATTCCCAATAATTATCTGATTGCAGATGTGCAATGAGCAGCTATGTCCATGCATGCGAATGCACCTGTGAGCATGCCTGTGTCTTTGCATGTGCATCTCAGCTAACACCCATATATATGTGTTGTGTGGTATTTCAAGTCCAAAAAAAAGTAGTAATCAAGTTGCAAAGATATCAAGAATTACAATTATATCTATGATGCCAGCTCAGATCAGCCAATTGCCAAACAAAAAGTCAATGAGCTTTATATGAGGAGAGGATGTGCTTGGTATTGGCACCTTGCTAGAGCAACAATGATATCAAGAAATTGGGCAAGAAAAGCATGTTATCCAGGGGTATAATAGAAGACATGTATGGTACTCAATAAATCATGTTGAGATAGAAAATAATTAGTGCTTATGCAGAGCAGAGATAAGCTGACGTGACCTACCCAACTTGAAATCCTGACTTGGGCCTGATGGACCAAATAAAGAGCTAATAACCTAAACAGAATAACCTCAACCCAAATGCACTAATATCCAAACAATTCAAGTTTTTAGAATAATCAAAGACTTGAACAACTTGCTACTCAAAACTGAAGTTAATTGAATTACAGAAAATCTGAACCAGCAATAATCCTGAGCCCCCAAGTATCTCAAAATAAAAACTACAATTAAACTCTAAACGGTAAGCTCAGCTGTAAACAGATCAGACCAGACCCGAAATGACTCAAAATCTGGAAAAACCTGAAAACCCAATATCCAAGTACTTGAAGGTTGATTTACAAGGAATATCCAAGAAGTTAATGACTTGATAAATTGAATGACCCAAAACCTAAAATTAAACAGCTTGAACATCCTGATTGCCATCTCTACCATATGACATAAAATATATATATATATATATTATGTATCTCACTATTCTAAACCAAAAAGGTGGTCCTACTGAAGAACAGATTAACTTTCCACATAGGCTTAAAAATAAAATAAAGCAAAGATTACTGCCACTTTCAATTCTCTGATGAGACGAGCAATGCATAACCAGTGTGATTTTTTAGAGAATTCTGAAATAGGAAAGAAAGGGCGAAGCACAGTGTAGTGCAGGAAAGATAACTATTGATTACCTTTCATGATTGCTGGCCCTCGTAACCAAAGCTCTCCATGCTGTCCAGGAGGCAGGGCCTTTCCGGTTACAGTATCAACAATCTTTGCTTCTGTATTTTCAGCTAGTCGCCCAACAGAAGCATGTCGCTGCACCTCATCAGGCCCTATTGTCTTTGCTACTGCCCCACAAGACTCTGTCAAACCATATCCCTACAACAAGCACCAAAGTTTCTTAACAATTTCACCAGTTGAGTAATAATTCGTAATTCATGCATTGAGCACACCCACCTATTATAACTGCAGTTGAAAAGAGGCAGAGGATGCTAACTTTTAAATGCATCTAATCCTTTTACATCCGATCAAAATGCAAGATTAATATAATTAAATCTTATAAATTGAAGATGCAGCATACGAGTTTCTCAATCAACTTGCAAAAAGATCAGGAACAGTTACAATACAAAAATAAAAATTGGGTATAGAAAATCTAAGGGTAAGTAACAAGAAAAGTATGATGAGGAGAGGAATAAATAAATTGAAGCTCAACTGGAAAAAATCATACACAGAATAGGACACTTAAGTATTCATATACAGGAAATATATAAACAAATAAAATGAACAGGTAAATAAGTCAATACTTGCTTATACATTTGCTTTCTCCATCAAACTAAAATGGTTTCACGTAAGAAATGAGCCCGAAGTAATCCCACACCGAAAAGAACTCTTCAATCAGGATAATCACGTTAAATAAAATTAATCAAACTTCAAAAAAAACAAATACCGAAAAGCCAACCCACAAGCTGAAAAGAAAAAAAAAAAAGACAAAATGAACGAAATCTTCAAGTGAAGAAATGAAACGAAAAGAAGAGCTCTGATTACCTGCACAATCTCTACATTGGGGAATTTCTGCTTGAACCTCTCTACAGTCTCCTTCCCTAGCGGTGCACCACCACAGGCCAGCGCCATGAGTGAGCTCAAGTCGTACTTGTCGGTCAACTCTGACGTCACCATGGCCACGACGAGCGGCGGAGATACAGGCGCGTAAACTATCCTGTACCTCTCCACCGCCCTCAACATCCCTTCGAAATCGAACTTCTCCATCAACACCACCGTCTCCCCTGTAGCAACCGCCTTCGCCAACAAGAAGAACCCAAACACATGAAACAGGGGCAGCGTGAAAAGAGATACTGGATGTGGCAGCGACTCCTCAGTGTCTTCACTGCCATCTTCTGACCTCAAAACTTGACCTGTCACGGCTATCAGATTACGGTGTGTCAGCAACACACCCTTAACCCGTCCGGTTGTCCCCGAGGAATAAAGAATGGCCGCCGGGTCGGACTGACTCACATGAACCCGTTCAATGAAGCTGAGGCCGTCTCCGCTGTCGCAGCCTGGCTGAGCTAGCCAGGAGAGGAACTCGAGTGAGTCGAGGAGGACGATTCCCTTGGGTAGTGAAGGGAGCTTGTGGGCAGTCTGGGAAGTGGCAAAAGCGATGACGGGTTTGCTGAGTTGGAGCTGGTGAGATACCTCCGAGTCGGAGGCAAGCGGGTTGGCCGGAGAGATAACAACGCCTAGAGACAATAGAGAGAAGTAGAGAACGGGAATGTGGAGGGAAGCGGGTGCAAGTATGAAAGCGACGTCGTTTCGGGAGAGAGAGAAATGAGAGTGCAGAAAGCGCGCTAATGAGTTAGTCCGGTAAAAGAACTCGGTGAAAGAGAGGCCGAGGCCGGTGGTGGCATCGGTGACGAAGGCGGTGGCGGTGCAGGTGGCGGAGGAGCGGAAGAGAGAGAGACAAAATTGAGAGATGGATAGAGGTTGATTGGGCGGAGGGAGAGGTTTGTCAGGTCGGAGGCTCCGATAGACTCCCGTTAGAGGGTCGAACCCACTTTTCGGATCGAACCGACTCGTTGGATCGATCCAACCGCTCTGAGTTGTCCCTGATGACATCGTTGTGCTTCTTTGATTTGGGAAGAGAGACTGAGAATGTGTTGCGAGAGTGAGTTTGCAGGAGAAGTCTAAGCGAAGACCAAGCGGACAGAGACCAGGCGGTGCCGGATGAAGGAGAAGACGTATTGCTCAAAACTTTTTCTGGTTCATTCAAATTTCTCGGGTCGATTTTTTTATTTTTTATTTTTATTTTTTTACTTTGTCTAAGCACTTATAAGACGATTTAAAATATAATTTATAGAATATAAATTTTACTTTTATAATTATCAACAAAAATTTAAAAATAAAGACTATATTTACGAATCCTTTAATTTATTAATATTATTAAAATATTTCTTGTTTTATACGGTATTATTTTAACAAAATATTTACAAAAATTAGTTTTATTTGATTTTAATTAATATTTATACTTTTAATTTAAAATGCATTGTTTTTGAAAAAAATATATATATTTTGATCATATATTATATATTTTAATATTTAAAAGATTTAGTTTATAAGCAGATCAATAAAATTGTAACAATTTGATGCTTATTAAGAAAATTGATTAACATCTACCAAGTGGTTGACGAAATAAATTATTGAAAAAGATGAAGTTGGACAAGTCGTATTGAATTTATTTCATTGTTCCTTTCAATCTCCAAACAACACCCCCCCACCTATTTTATTATATGAAATCCGGGATAAATATGTATATATTATATTATATTTAAAGCAACATCTTATATATTAAAAAGCAAAAAAGACAAAATAATATTCACAATTTAGATGAATTGGGAGAGACAGCACCAGCACGAGCAACCAGTTCCCTTCTCAGTGTTTTGCCCGCAGCAGATTTTGGAATTGAATTGATAAAACCAACTCGCCTTATTTTTTTGTATGGTGCAACCTGCAAAGCTTCCATGAAAGTCAAGATAGCAAAGAGTAATCCTGAATCAACTATATATATGTGATACGGGGAATGAGAAACATGCCTGTTTGGCAACAAAGTCAATAAGTTGACTCTGAGTGAGATTGCTTCCAGGTTTTTTCACCACAATCGCCATGGGAATCTGTCCAGCTTCCTCATCAGGATACCTGTAATTCCCAAACACAGTTAGTACAGTTAGCCATTAGTTTAGATTAGTTTTATTAATTAATCATCATCAGTGTAAGTAATCAAAGCTTAGGTTCTGTATATAAATACCCCACACTTCAATTAAGGATTTTCTCTCACTCTCTCGAACATTTCATCCACACAAGAAATTCTTCACTGTTTTCTTCTCAAGTTCTAGATGATTTTAGAATTTAACAAAGCAAGACGAACTGAAAAAGGGAAATATATATATATATATATATATATAGATTTACTCACGGAATTACAGCTGCATCAACGATTTCAGGATGGGACTGAAGCAAATTCTCCAACTCAGCTGGAGGAACCTGCATATACACACACACACACACATATATATATATAAGTTTAGAGAGAAAACAATTTTTAAGCTTCAATGATGAGAGGTAGAGAGCAAATCACCTGATATGCCTTATATTTGATCAATTCTTTTAACCTATCAACAACGTAGATGAACCCTTCAGAATCAAAGGAACAAATATCCCCAGTTCTAAGCCAGCCTTCTGAATCCAAAGTTTCTGCAGTTGCCTTATCATCTCCGACATACCCTGTACTAAACCCATCAATATCATCTTCCTTAATCACCCACTACCCAAACCCTTTTATATATGCATGTGCATATATATATATATATATAATGAGGCTACTACTTATCAATCACTATACTTCCAGGGTCTGCAACATATATAAGACATAAACGAACTGAGAACAAATTACCCTTCATGATAATCTGGCCTCGCAACCAAAGCTCTCCCCTCTGTCCAGGAGGAAGGGCCCGGCCAGTGACAGGATCAACAATCTTGGCTTCTGTATTTTCAGCTAGACGACCCACTGATCCATGTCTTCTTGTCTCATCTGGTCTGATTGTTCGGGAAGCAACCCCGGAAGACTCGGTCAAACCATATCCCTATTATATAACATCATAAACATCAGAAATTAACCACTCAAAACCCCAAACTAAATTCATAATGATCACACTCTGTTTACCATTACGATCTCTGTAGTAGGGAACTTGTTCTTGAACCTCTCCGCAGCTTCCTTCCCTAATGGTGCACCGCCGCAGCCCAGCATTATGAGCGAACT